CTTAGGAAACAATTTCTACTGCAGGAGCTGACTTGAAACATATCCCACTGAAGCTATTGTGCACATGTTTAAATGGGATTTGGCAGGTGGATAAAAGATTTATTGATTGCTATTTGGGGGATTCTTGCAGCCTTGCTGCTTCAACAGGCTTTCAAACTAGATTTGAGTCTGACAGAGCAAACTGACCTCTGGAATCTTTTCCTGGTACAGCATCCTAACAGTAACAAGTACAATAAGCCAGGGCTAACGAAGGCTCTAAACTGCATGTGGAACAGCTGCTGTGTGCTACTGTGGAAGCATAAGGGAGAAAACGCTTTGGGGAAGGGGAGGGAAAGCCTTTTAATTAGTCTTCAAACACCCATGTAGTTACTATAAGCAACATCTTACACTGGTCTGAATGTGAATCTGGAAGTTCTATCTACCAACTGCTTGCTCCTCAGTTTAGTGGGCTCTGTTTCCATGGCCTCATGTAGTGTTCTGAGAACTTCGAAGACACACTGGCTGGACGGTGTATGACCTGTCTGCTTAGAAAATGTTGTACAACATAGATAAAACCCCCAAAGACTCAAACTCATTGCCACCTAGTAACCAACTCACAACTGATCCCCCACCAGGTTTTCACAGATTGCCCATTTTTCTCCCTAGGAGTTGCTGGTGGATTCAAACTGGTAGAGGCTCAGCCTTTGCGTTAACAACCCAGTGCCCTCTGAATTATATCATCAGACCTCTCAATTTTGCTTTAATCATTGTAGATTGCACAATATGAGTTAGGAAGGACATGACCTTTCTTAGGGAAAAATTTATTCAATAAAAGCAAGAGTGAAATGATAAAATACAATTCAAGATATAGAATAAGCAAACCTATATGACATCTTAAAAGCAAAGAGTTAAAGTAGTTAAATAGAATATAGGATTGGCAAGTCATTTTAGAGTCTATCTTCCTTATTTTAGGAATGAGACCATTAGCTTCTTGGATAGTAGAATAAAAATTCCCAACATTTCAGTGCATTACACCTGCAGTTAGCATAGTAAGGTTCAGTGATAGAATTAGGTAGGGATCCCAGTGAGAAACCAGGGTAGGCCTGGAAATCAGCAGTCAGCCCAGGGACCATCCCCCAAGAGCCCATCCCCCCTGATCTCAGACAGTGGTGAGATCTGTGCTTTGACTGCCCTTAAGCAGTCCTCAAGGCATCCAGGCATCAAGCTCATGATGTATTTTCAGGGAGAGTGGAAAGATTTATATCAACAATCTTAGGAAAAAAATCACATTTATCAACAGTTGGTTAAGTTACTTATGTGAGAGGCCATCCAATTAGGCTGTGAGAGCATCGGTGGCTGTCTGCCCAGCCTGAGTGAGGTTATGACCTGGTAATCCACTAGCTCTGTCTCATGAAACCTCTCTCTGCTATGGCTGTATTTCCAGCAAGCCTTCAGGAACTATCAGGTTCCTCCCCATAGACTATGACAGATCAAGCGTGCTTTTACAGGAGCCTGTCTCTTTCTTTTTCAAGGCCTCTCACTAATTACTGACCAAACAGTGGACTGAGGTGTGGGATGGTAAAAAATCTGCCTGAGATGTGGGATGATAAAAAAATCTGCCTGCACCTACCCATTTTAGTTCCCAGTCTCTTATGACTGGCAATATTTTCTTAGATAAAACCCAAAAAGCAACTTTTAGAATGCACTTTCTTATAGCATGCCTGTGTGAAAGGAGTAAATACTCCATAAATCCTGGTCAAGAACACAAAAGTTCATTTAATGCGTTTATTAGAATCCAAGAAAAAGAGAATCAAAGGCAGAGAGAGGGGGGGGTAGGGAGTGGTGTGGGGCCCAAGAAAGTGGTTGTTGTGCAGCCACAGGGAATAGAGAGTGTAAAAAGCTTCTTGTACACATTGCCTCATCTATAAAACCAGAACCACTTGGCATCTCTCTAAGTAACAAATGGATCTAAGGGCTGTGGAGATGGGCTGTTGGCAGGAAATGGTCTCCAGGGCTATGATATTTTCAGACTGTGTGCTGTCACCTATAATGCATAGATCACGGATTGCAGAGCTGAGTTCATGTGTCTTTTCTATATTAGGACAAAATTGTGCAGGTTTTTGTTTTTCTCATTTGTCTCACAATAAGAATTTCTTAGGATAGAGGACTGAATATAGGTATCTGAGATAAGTAGAAACTGTCTATTTTGCTTTTGAAATGTAGAAAAGAGGTGAAAGAAGTGACAAGAAAAGGTAAAGGTCTGCAATTCTATTTAGAACCCTCTCTCAACTTTTAGGGCTTTGCTTGAAAACCCCTCTGCATGCAAATTAAAATGGACCTATATACGGTTGTTTTGTTGTTGTTTTTTTAATCCTCTCTGTGTACAAAGGTAGATATGCACTTTTCTAACCTCTATCATAAGATTTGTGTTTGTCCCAAATCAATTTCCATCAGAGTACTAAATTCTCTAATGGGTTAAAATTGGGGGGGGGGATCCTCTGCAGATGTACAGAGAGCGTTTAATGTTACTATCTAACTAGTCCAGAATGAACGGATTACTCTTCTTTGTTTTTCCTTGTGAAATATGGAGGCATCAGATTCACTTGGTGCCATGAAAATTGTCTACAGAGTAAAGTGTGTCCATATTCCATCCTACCCCCTAGCAAAAGTAACTTACACCCTTTGACACTATTCCTCTTCCCCACACTCCAATCAACAACAAAACCTCCAAAACAAAACATAAAAACTCTTAACTGCTGATAAGGCAAGACCCCCAAAGAACTTAAAAAAATAAACTTAAAAATATTCTTCTCCCTCCTCCCCCAACCCCTGATACTGATTAACATCTGAGGTTATTAGCCCTAGAAAGATTTACTCTGGGAGTAAAATGAACACTTAGAAGCCACCAGTTGTAAAAGAACACTTAAACCTTCTCCTCTGCCGGAGAAGGAGGCGCAATATCCTCCTGTACCAGTCAGATCTGATTTGACGGTACACGCACACAAAATAATAAAATAATTAAAAAAAAGAACACTTAAACCTTCTGATCCCAACTCTGAGTCTTTGATATTGTTCATTCTTTTTGTTCTGCCATGTCTTTTTCATAAGTCTGCAGTTAGGATGTCATTGATATTTTAATTTTTAAAACACAGTTGCTGTTAGTTTCCTTGCGAGCACAAGGTGTGCAGAGTAAACTGCTCCATAGTATTTTCAAGGCTGAGGTCTTTTAGAGGCAATGGTCAAGTGCATCTGGGTAAGCGCAAAGCACAACCTCCCCAGTCTTCCCACTGGTTGTCAAGTGTATAAACGACTGTGCTTTTTAAAATGTAGCAGCGTTATTTATTTTCATATTCCTCAAAATATTTAGGGACATATCTACCCCATAAAAAGAAACAGTTCAAACCCCATTGGGCTAATTTCATGTTTTTCTAAGCTCTCACTTAAACATTGTTTAATTTCCAGGCTCTAAATCTGCCCACTACCACCTGTGGTTGCACATTGGCCCCATCCTAGTTTGGTCTGCATGTTTCAGGACCTTGGTCAACTCCTCTGAACCCTTGCTTGGCTGGGTTTCTTAATGGAGCCCAACCACTAGAAAACAATATGGCAGACTATCTCTGGTTTAGTAGCAAAGATTTACCCCCTGGGATAGTCAGTGTCATCATGTACTTTAACACAATTACTTTTCTCTGCATTTTACAATTTCCCTCCCCTAGCAGTTTGCTGACGTTCATCAGGGGAGATGCCTTCCCTGAAGGCTGTCCAAGCCTTCTCTTCCTTTCATTAGCAGTGTAAGTCTGTTTTCCCACTGGAACCCAGCACGGAAGCTTAATCTTCCCGCGGGGGCCCTTCTGTCGTCTCGTCTGGCTCAGAATGCTGAGCTTAAATGAAATATAAAGTCATAATTTTCTGAGTGAAAACAAGGCCTGTGGCCTCAGGACGGCTGGCTCCAGTTCCTTGAGCTTGGCGAGTCCTGTCCCTCGGTGTCACCCTTGCTCTCCTCTCCTCACTGGCGTTGGGCCTAGCTATTCCCCAAGCTCCACAACTACACACACTCCTCACCACCTCCTGGCCCCCTCTGCCAGGAGCGCAGAATGACTACCAGAAGGACAGGAACAAAACACTGAAATGTTGCAATTTATTAAAGAAACCTTAAGTAAGAAAAAAAAAAAGGTTAAAATGGTGTCACGTATATCAAGAGCACTTTTGTGGCGTAAACTGTACAGTTACGAGCTATGAGTTCCATTCCGGGGATCTTCACCACCGGGCATCTGGGGGTCGAGCACCCACCCCACAGAAAGACCCAGTTGGAAATACAATAAAGTAACAACTCACTGTTCACATTCGCAGGCTCCCCTCCCCCCACCCCTTCTCCCACAATAGCAAAACTCTAACCGCTAATGCAGGCAAACATATAGTACTAGGGCAGGAAAAAACTTGACAGATATTTGTATTCAAGCAAACGAATAAACAAAAGGTCCCTTAAAACGACAGCTACAATCCATCACAGGTATTTCACACCGGTCCCAGCCAGAGTGCCAGGGGGAGCGGGGAGGGAGTGGGCGGGAATCTGGACGCGGCTCACGAGTCCCCCATTAGGTCTACTGCGCGCACCGTGCATACAGGTCATTTTCGGGTGACCAGGCGACAGTGCCTCTGGGTCTCCCCTGCCCACCTTGTCCACCTGCCCTAGCGCTCAGCTCGCCTGCGGGAGGAAAAGGGCCTGCGCCCCGTCCCTCTCCCGCACCCCAGGCCACCGGCAGCTTCCAAAGTTCTGAGCCCTACCCGCCTTCTGCTCGCCACTCGCTGCCAAGTCCAGAAGTTCCGGCGCTTGCTTTCCTTTTTCAAGAGTCAGGCACCGGTTTTCTCGGAGGACAAGCAAAAGCCTATCGCTTTATCCGAAAGTCGAAAGAATTTACTCCGACAGGTTTGCGTCGCCCCATGTGGAATGGTAAGGGGCGCAAGCGGACAGGCCAAATCGGGTGGCGTAGGGGAGGCTGCCGCGGGGGCCGGAGGGCAGGTCAGTAGGGCCCCACGACCACCGCCTCCACCTCCTTCGACGGTCTCCGGTCTTTCACTAGGAAGTTGATCATGCCCTCAGACTTGATGAGCAGGTTGCAGCCGAGGAAGAAGATGCCGAAGACCACGGTGAGGGAGAGCACACACATGACGGCGATCTGCACCACCCGCATGATGTACAGGCTGCGTTCATCTGGGCCCTCGGGGAAGCCGTCGTCGGTCACCACGGACGCCTGGGTGCAGCAGCGCATGGCGCGCTCCAGCGCCTCGCTGCTGTTGGCCAGGAGCAGGCCCGCCACGTCGGTCTGGTTGCTCAGGGATGGGTTCATCACCGGAGCGGACGTGCGCCCTGAGGGCGCGGCGGGTCAGAGGGCTGAGAAGGTGGAAGCACGGAAGGAACAGGTGCCTGGCTGAGCGCTCACTTGGAGACTTGAGCGCGCGGGGCTGGTCTCGGGCTGGTCTCGCTCTCCTTTGAAAGTCCTAGGTCGTGGGAGTTTCCCAGGAGCCTCTCCGACGCGCGCAGCAGCCGGACTCTTCTGAGCGGTGTGCGCTGCCCGGGCGGTGCTTGTTCCCGCCGCTCGCTCGACTGGGGGCTGTTGGAACTTGGCGGGGCTGGGCCAGCCGGGCCGTGGGAGGTGCGGTGGCGGCGGCGGCTGCTCTGAGCAAACAGCGGCCCCTTCCGGCTGCGCTGTGGCTCTGCACCTGCGGCGGTTGAATGGTGGACTCCAAGTGGACTTGGTGGTGCTTTTCTTGCTTTGATTCCATTCTTACTCTGCAGGCCAGGCAGAGGTCATTACACTCTACTGTCTTGATGAATGATTAAAGAGGTCAGAGGTTGGGGGTGGGAGAGGGAGAGGGAGGAGTTGTGGTCAGTGAAAGGTTCAGAGGAACAGCTTTTCAAGCCTTTCTTGCCCTTCTCACCTCCTGAGTGCATGGGAAGTGGTGACAGGCAGGTGTTTGATGGCACTTGCTAATGCATAGGTTCTCCAGCTACTGCCAGACTAATATGTGTCGGATTTCTGGTTTGGTTTTGTTTTTTTCAGAGCAATGAATTTAGAAAGAAGAAGCAGGAAGACAGGGAGGACAAGGAGAAAAGAGACCCCCTCCCTTCTTAACAAAAGCGCCTGAGAATCTGAGCAAAGGAGAATTCATGGTGATTTTTTTTAGGCTAAGGAAAGGAGGACAGAGGAAATAGGTGTTCTTTGACTGCCAGGAACAGAGTGCCTTTTCTGGGAAGGGAGGAAGAAGTGGACAAGTGACCACTTGATTTTTATCTTAACTGCAGATGAGTTTTGAGATGTGCATCCAGGATTTCTGTCTGCTGGCCTTAACTCAGTTTAAGGGATTTTGCATAAACATCCATCGCTGACCCACTGCTCGAAGCCCTCCTCATCTCCCACACGCTGATGCATTTTCTTGTTTTTTATTTCAATTATAAAAAATTTTAAAGTCTATCAGACTGTTTATAAAAAGCCTCTTTTGTTTCTTGAGAAAACTTCACCTTTTCCTCTTTCCTGCTTCTCTTTATTCTACTGTCCTCCTCCATACCATCCTTCTTTTCTTTCATCTGGAGTAGCTGAAAACTAGTAACTTGAAGCCCAGTATAAACTTGATTGAATGAGGTTATTAATTTTTTAAATTAAACACACTAGCTGTATTGACACTTTCAACTTCACTCTTCATATCATTATTTTGGCTTCTTCAACCCTCTTATTTTTATCTCTCTAATCATTACTCCATATACAAAGATCACAGATGTTTTTAAACTACTTCATGGTGATTAAAAAAGAAAATGAACCTCTTTTTGGGCAGTATGTGGATGTTGTGTGATAGGTTGATAGTTTCTTATTAAGTTGTTGTATATCATTGAGTTAGAACTGACTGAACCTCCAGTGGGCTTTCAGAGGCAGTTAATCCCATGGAAGGAGATTGTCCATCCTTTTCCTACAGAGCAGCTAGTGGGATCCAACTTTATGTTTTTGAGATTCCAGCACAGATTCTTACCATTGCTGTTGTTGTTTTGGAAATGCTTAATAGCTGAAGACTGGGACATGTGAGCATTCATTTTTCATTTCTTATGATTATATCACCTGTGAATAATATCCCACACTCAACAATTTCTTCTTTGGAAAAAATTATTTGATATTGATTGAGAAGAATTTCTTTAAATGTCACTATAGAATCAGTCCATGTTGGTTCAAATGAGTGGCACTTAAGAATGAGAAGACAATGCATATGTGAAAACAAAATTACAGGAGAATTTTAAGATAATACAAAGCAATAGTCCTAAAACAAATGATACAGGCAAATAGTACAGCAGTAATTAAGAAAAGCAAGAGCTGACAGAATAGAGATAGATTTCTGGGAGTGTCAACATATACAGAGTCAAGTCTTGAGTATAGCTGAATTGGGCTGAGAATAAATTGAAAGATCAGGCAGCCTCTCCTTAGAAAGAATAAAAGACATGATTTAGAATATACCTGCTAGATCCAACGTGGCAAAGTCTGTTTCACTAAATATTAGGTGAATTGTTACCAGAGATTGAATATATTTATTACTCTTAACTATATTAGTGTTGTTTTAGTCAGAAGTCAACATTAAGGTGGTTGACCTTTTATGTTTAGAGGAGGTTTTATACCCAGTAACTGTTTAGATTTCGGGACTACGTTGTTAAGAGAAGTAAAGCAACAGTGTTTTGTTAATTTTGTTTTTCTTTAAAAAAGAAAAGTAGTACCTATTTTACTACTAACCAAGTACAAAATAAACTAAAGAGAATGGCTGTTTCTCATAGCTAGTTTAGGCTTTTAGGGAGTATGATTTTTGTTTGGGTTGTTGGTTTTTTTTTAATTGTCCCAACTCTGATTTTGTTGAATGAAATCACCTAGACCATACAGATATAAGTTGTTAGTTTATAAAAACCATATAAAACCTGTTGCTAGTTGCTATGACATTGGTTCTCACTCAGAGTGACCCCTTAGATGCAGGGCACAGTTCCATATAGTTTTCAAAGCTGAGACCTTTCAGAAACGGCTCTTCTGAGGCGCTTCTAAGTGGGTTCAAATCAACTTTTGACTAGTAGCTGAGTTTTCAACCTTTAGCCTATCTTCTGCATCACTTCTGAATGGATTCGAACCCTTCAAGCCCAGCTTTTGAGATACTTCTGAGCAAATTCAGATCAGCAACATTTGGCTGGTAGTTGAGCTTTCAGCCATGAGCACCACCCAGGGACTCCACTATCAACTTGGTGTTAAAAGCCCAGCAAAAACCCAACAGTGCTTCCTTTCTATCCAGCTGACTCTGACTCAAAACATTCCTATGTGTATCTGAGTTGAATTATTCACTGTAGGTTTTCAGTGTCTGATTTTTGGGGGCGCTTTCTTCTGCGGTTCTGCGTTGACTCAAAGCTTTTTATTGAAGGGATGGTGTTAACTGTTTGCTCCAATTATTTACCTTTTTTTTTTTTTCATTACTCAGTCTGGGGTACTTGAAGGTTTTTGGGTTTGATTTTTTTGTTAATTTTTGTTATATTAACAGGAAGATTTATCGAGTTGTATCTTAGTACAGACTCTGGGGCTTGCCCATGGTGCCCTTTATGTACAAAGGCTGAACATTCTGCCAATTCTTCTTTAGTGGTGAAACCAAGAAGTTCACAGCTATGTGGGTGTTGTAAACAAGTTCATCATCGGTCATCTTCACATGACCAACAGCCACTGCCTGACACAGGACCTTTTTCATCTGGAATTTGATGGTGGACTTTCACCTTGTGGTGCTGAACCCCAAGAACACACACTGAGAACTTGGGGTTTGGGGGGACTTGAGCCTGAAGGTCCCAGAGAAGCGCTTGTCCTTTTGAGAGTCATTGTTCTTCAAACTGATCTGCAGCTCCACCAGCTCTCAAAACTGTGTATTTGTGCAGGATTTCCAGCACTGCCTCATAGAGGTGTCACAAGAGACTTTGTTACTCACGGTTCCTAGTGCTGCAATAACCGGAAAAGGGTGATGCTGGGAATTTTTAAGAAACCTTTTCATTATCTTCCCATTTTGTATTTTGACGAAAATCTGTTCTCTCAACTTTACTCCAATTACCCAACCATCTATGAGTAAAACTTACATATACGAAAAAAATAAACATTTAAGAAATGCTGGTTTACAAATACCTAACTTTTCAGAAAATTAGATCATTTTGGTGGATTGGGAGAAAATGTTGATATTTCACATCGTATTATGTGGTAAAGTAATAATTCATGACATAGTTTTCTGATAGTACAAAGACTTAGTATTTTATTTATATATATAGTGACTTCTCTTCATTGGAAAAAGATTTGATTTTTAGATAATTAAGTGCACATCATTTCACAATAAACATCTACACTTCCTTAGTCCTCACATTACTTTTTTCACAAAAGTAATTAAAGAGTTAAACAGTCAAGAAATGGAGGAACAAGAAAAGTAAAAGCAAAGGTCTAGCTTTTTCTTTACATATATTCTCTAGATCTCTTTGCTGAAGACATCTGAAGAGGTTGAATTCTTCTTTTGAGGGAAGAGTGTGAAGTGTCCTTGTTTCACAAAGGTGACTCCTTTCAGTTAGAATTTTTTTTAGATACAAGACCACATGGAATGATATGGTGACTAGCAACCACAATGCTCTTATCTTTTAACACCCTTTTACTGTTATTGAAATAATGAGGCAAGAAAAGCATGTAATAATTCATTCCTAAGCTTGATAAAAAAAAATCCTGACCTCTGAACATGCTGACAATTTTACAGGATGATACATCATAGACCTATGGTATCCTATTTTTAGATATGCAACATAGACAATTTTGCCTCCACAGATTATTTGTCATTATTTCACTCTGATTTTCTGCCTACTCTTTGAAGTCTGCATGATTTAGACAGTGAAAACATCATGGGATTTCTTAACACTTTTGGTGCCACTGATTGTAAAATTAAAAACAAAGCAAACAACACAACATAACTTACTCTAGCCCTGGAAAGAGGAGAAGCAAATGACTGCCAAGAGTTCCATAAAATGCAGTTTCTCCAATTTCTGAGATTGAGAACATATCATCTGGGGCGGGGGGAAGGCAGTATATATATATTTCCATGGAATCTGTTTATGTTGTTTGACCTAAATATTTCTATAAAGCCTTGAATAATAAATGATCCTAGAAGCAGAGAGGAAGAATGAAATCTTCACAATAAAATGTTGAATTCAGACTTGAATATTTGAACTTGTAAAGACTGATATCTCCTGCAAAAGTGTAGTTGCTATTGAAAGAGACAGTGACATTCAGCTTTTGCCACATAGCAAGCAGGAGTGTCAGGATTTCTACATTTATAATTTAATAGTTGTGTGACAATAATCCAGTATTGGCTATGGTCACACATGTGATTCTAACATTTGAAAAAAACCTGTCTTTAA